CCACGCAGATCGATTGAGTTCTCGTACACTATCTTGAACTTCGTTTGAGTGTCTCACTTTAGGAAGATTTCTGCGAATATTTCCAAATAGTTTTTTCACCACGGTTCCTCATCCAATGAGATGCGCACCTCATTGAACAATGCAGTGCAAGTGACATGCTATGGAATACAAAATGGTTTTGAAAGCAATTTCTTTGGATTGTACGAGTAATTTGTGTCGTTTCACTGAATCTGGTCCATGGACTGGTAGAAAGTTGTCAGCAGAGGAAGTTCCCGTCAGTTTATTAGAGTTAGCAAATTGATAATAAATAATTCATTCTTAACAACATTACATGAACGATTGTTTTTATTTCCTAATTGTTTTCGAAGCCGAAATAGTTTTCGAACCCAATATACTAATATCGCAATTCTCAGGGTGAACCTACGCACGACACCCATTGACCTTTGTGCGGCCCGGAATGTCCCCGAATCATCTGGAATTTCGCGTGTCGCTGAAATCTAAGTATTCGACCAAAGTAATGTTTCTCCAATGTCCATCAATTCGAGTCTGCAGGGCTTGGGGTCAGGGGAGTGGAGCAGCTTATTCGTTTGTGTTTCCCGTACACCTGTCGTTGATGCCACTTCCTGCTTTCTTTTCGTGTTGATCCCCCCCCCNTGACCCCCCCCCCCCGCGCGCTACACATACATCTATACACACGAACTCAACCTATCGTCTCTTTTCACCGACCGGGGCAGGACAAATGCAACAACTAACAGCTGTGCTGAAATCGAAATGCTCTCACCGAAAATTATCCGCCTGCAACTGGTTCAACAAGATTTACTGGGCTAACCGGGTCTAGCGGTGTTGAACAGGCGGAATTCGTGGACAGATCGTCTAGTCCCACTTGTCGGCTCGTTCCCACCCACTCTCTTAGACTCCAGCTTTCGAATAGATGAAAGTTCGATCTGTCTATCCCTTTAGACTGGGATTCATGAGTCACCCTGTGGGGGAAAAGACGGATACATGCACGTTATTTTTACGGAATTACCCCCCGCTTCTTGGATATGATAGATAAAACACAAAAAGATAAAAAGGGAAATGTTTTCACAGGTAATCGAATGCGCCACAAAGTAATTTTCATTCTTTTCCAATATTACGCACACCTCCCCAACTACACATATTTCAGTACAGATAATCCGAGAAAAGCTTACCTCGTCTGCATCTCACATTCTTTCCGAGTTGATAAATTGTTGGTATGCACCAATCCAGTGCATTGATTGTACGCTTGCTATAAAATTATAACACTTGTATTGCATTGTAATTGTGACTACTGTAAGTGCAATGTCTAAATACCAGTGGAAATTGTCGGCAAAATAACCAAGAAATTCTGCAAAAGCCGTTCTTTGTTGACCGCGATAAGTTCTAAAAAGGGTGCCGAAGAGCTTCGATATATATTTTATGTGCGGGAACACAGCGGTCTGGGATCTAGCAGACAGACGGAAGCGACTGAGAATTGAATCTGTAGTCAGTGGACGAAGGATAATCTCATGTTTAAACTCAATCAAATGGCGTTCACACAGACTGGTCATTAACTCCTCCACTAGGATTGAAGAGACATGGCTAATAATGGTCAATCTACGTCGAAGCACCTTTTCCCTTAGGGAATTAGGAAAAAACCGGGTGAGCAATAAAAAGCAAAACGAGGGAGCTTATCAGTTACTGAATTCTATACCGATGAGCTATGTTACTAGGGCAAGAAAATTGTCAACGTTTAGTGTCGATATGTTGAATGTGAGAGGCTCACTGAAGATTGACATCGAGTAAACCTCCAGGTATTTGGTACAGCTTACTTGGGATATCGGCTCAGAGTTAATCAATAACAGGTAATACGAGAAAGAAGAACGTTATAGAGTAACTAGACATTCGAAAGATTTAAAGGGATTAATAGGAGAGAAATCAGAGGTAGCGGGAAATTGTTACACATCATAAAAATTTGAAACGGATTTCTCAAACCTTAGTTTGGCTGACTTTCTTCGGCATACATTTCTGCTTGCAATTTTCCGCCCATCAGGGAAGTACTGCGACTCGAGTTTTGCACTGGCCCGAACTCAAGAGGGTAGTGCATATTCACCGACCCGCCCAGAACTTGAACATCAGACCCCGTCTGTGTATGTGTGTGTTACCATTGAGTCCAAAAAGTCACACCCGGGATAAACAAAATTGTTCAAATTGTTGTTTGGCAGATTTGAGGTTTGTATGTCGATTGTGAAAAGTTCAGTAACCTCGGTGGGATTCGAACCCACGCATGGACGCGGCCTACGCTCTGTACGCGCATGCTCTACCAGTTGAGCTACGAGGCCACACCGATAACACGCACAAAGCGTGGGCGGTGTCCATGCGTGGGTTCGAATCCCTTCGAGGTCACTGAACTTTTCACAATTGACATATGAACAAAATTACCAATTCCAGTTGGTTTACATGTCTTCAGTGACGATCAGAATAAAATNAAAATAAGGATTGCACGCCGAAATGAGAAGTGAAGGATGACCAGTTAAAAATGAATTTTGTGATTATTGAAAAATTTACGTCAGTGACTCTTTGAAATTAAATCCTAACATGGCACGATCATGGTAAGTTAATTGAGGTTTCTCATAAGAACTACAAAGAAATCAAATGATCCTACACCGTAGCACCAGATTAAACCAGTTTTAATCACAGTGTGGCATGGCTTTGTTTATGGTTAAACAGATACACTGACTGCATCCATGACGAATTGAACTGTATTCGGTGGCCTTGAAATTTTATTGTCATTTTTCATTTTGAACTTCGATGGATCGAAAATGCTTGGATAATCTCTGAAACCACTTGTTTCATTCATTCGTTTCTTAAAAGTTTGTCAACGAGAGACTGTAGCTTCTGTTCTCAGTCAATTTGGACAACGCATGTTCAGGGATGTCCTAGTGGGTTCACGTGATCGACTGCGGATGTTAACCGGTGCAGGCTTGTTTGTGTTTGTGTGTGTGTGTGTGTGTGTGTGTGCGTATATGATGGAACGAAATTAAGATTAAAACAGAGCCAGGCTTGATCACTCGCAGTCACTACAAGTTGCTCATTAATCCGAACTCAGTTGGGTAGACGAACTGGGTGGGACAGGTGAAACGAGCGTAAGTCGGGCTTTGATAGACCCACAAGGGGAACACAACCGGGGCAAATAGTGAGACAAACGCAGGAAATGTACGTTAATCCGTAACACGTGCGTCAAAGGCCAAACGGAACTGTAACAATAAACGACCAACATTTCTAACCATTTGGCCCTCTTGCCTCCGCCTCCCCTTTCAATCTATGCATACGGTCTATCCCCGTAAGAGGGAGCGTCTTTTGTTTTATCTCTCTGTGGTCTTTACGCCCTTACGCTCTGTGGGAAGTCTACGGTGGCATGCTAACGCGGGACGTGCATTTCTTTCTTTCGTCCCAACTATAGAGCATCCACATCCGTTTCCTGTTTTTGTTATGCGGTCAGGTGGGGGTGAGTGAGTATGAGTGTGCGGTTTTTCTCGGTTGCATTGATCTCACTGATGCTACTCTACCCCTGTTTCGATCGGTTCATCGAAGAAAACCACAGGGTATTACACTATGCTTGCGCGTCCTTATCTGTCTTACACCACCACCGCAGCGTTAATTCAGTCCCCGTTTAGAGAAGCGCTTTTACGCTCACACAAACAACAAGTTTATTCGAGAGCAAGAGAGAAGAAAACGTGAGAGGTTTAGCTACCTTTCGTCATTCTCCTACAGCTAGTTGTGTTCTTAGAACGGTATGCAAAGGGACTACACGCCGTATTGCTTTTGGGTTACAGAAGATCACTACAAACCTAGCAGTAAACATCATCCTCGGGGAAATGGTCTATAGTCTTTTTATTTTAGATACACAAAAAGCACTGGTTTGTAAATTGACAGGCAGTAAATGAAGGCTCATCCCAAGCATAAAGTGGTCTGATTCGAACGGTAAAAAGGAACGGTTTGGTGCCCCATAACAGGGAAGCACGTGCAATAGAGTAACACTGTAAAAAAGAAGTGCAATTCGATAAGTTGATTTAATCAAATGATGAAATTACTTGCACACCTAATCACGGAAACGTGAACTATGGATCTGGACAGTATCAAAGGACTTGTCATATATGTTGTGCATTCCTATTGGTGTAAACCTCTCGACTAAATTCGGGATCGAACGCAGGACTACAGCGACCAAATGCGAATGACCCCATTGGTTTACTTTGAAGCTTAATGTATGAACGGACCAACCTCTCTGAATTTACCATTTATTTCATTTGTCTTCCACTCCGATTCTGGTATTTCTGATATTTCATGTTCCGGTTGGGTGGAGTCAAAAACAACTTGGAGACCGGAATTCCTATCATCACTAGACGAGTACGCAGTCGTACATTGTTTTTACTTTGGGAATAATCAGTGTATGACACTGGGTTGAAGTACAATTGAGCCAACGCCGAACAGCAAGACTACAGATTGTGTGAAGGTGTGATTTTTGTGTTTTAGCTACGGTAAGGATCGATCCTGGAGAGCACATGATTTTCCCATGGGCATTACTGAATTTTCAACCCGATTACTGATTGGTCAATTTCAATGAATGGTTTTCACCACTAAAATAAATTCACTCAGTTTATAAATGATTTTTTTCAGTTCGCCACTTGAATCCAGTTGAACGATTCCCCAAGTGTATTTGTGTGATCTTAGCCTCGCTACATGTTCTGGTTTAATACAGCTCGTACGATTGATCAAGTTCGACATTAACCATAGGAATGTTCGCGGTAGTGACTTTGTTTAATCAGTTGAAATTTAAAGTTCATAACACGAAAGAATTCTGTCCTATTTCTGATTACTAACAAACACATAGGAAATGATTATGCCTACAAATCGACATTATCAAGGATTAAATGGAAAACGATGTGTTTTATTTTCCCTGTACACAGAGTGGTGGCCGCCCCGGTGTTCTTCACGGGATTTCCATGATTGCCAGTAGCCCGGTCCGGAACGATCTAAATCTCATGTGTCCTAGCTCAGGAATAGACATACAACAGGTTCCCGGTGCACCGTACTGGAAACCACCGACGGAAATGCCCAGCCGACCAGGATCTCAATGCAATAGTGGTGGACCTATGGGTAATAATGGTCTGAACAATGCCGGAGCCAACAGTATACTATTTCAACCGAACAGTCCTTACAATCCGATGAAGTCCAAATTGTCCCGTCCACAGACAGCCACAAGCGCATGTACAACCACGTCCACTTCGTCTACCAGTGCGAATTCTTTATCCATCACGGATCCTTCAATGTCCTCCTATCCAGGACCAGTGGGCTCTTTGATCGGAGGCTCTTCGAACCCACTTCTCCCTCCGTTCAATGGCATGAACACAAACAGCACGCTGAACATGCTTCCCCCGGTGGACCAACCCCCATGTCCATCCGGATCCGCAGTTCCACTGTCAACCGCATCAACCGACCGGGGAGCACGTTTTGGGTTGGTTTTACCAAATCCGCAACACGGTTTGAACATGCTACAGCAAGGTTTCCTTGAGGAACCCACAATACCGGCTTTTCAACAACTAGTGAGTGATGAAACTTTAAGCCCGAAATGTTTATTGTATATGAAATCAACATGTTGATTATGGGATTAAGCGACTAGTTCGAGGATAGAAAACAACAAACTTGACAATTTATATTATTGCACGTCGAAACTCTCACGGTTTCCATTAGTTTGGGGTCTTATTTTTGAAATCATCCATGTTTGCCTCGTTTTTCATGTTAAGATCCATGGACATTTCGACAACTAGGTCGAACAAGACTGGTGTACGATATGGCAATAGTTTCCTCATAATTTGAGCCGCGTTTGCATCATTCGAAAGTTAACCACCAGTACTATTACTACTGCTATTATTACTAATGCTACAATGACTACTATTACTTCTACTACTGCTGTTTCATTACGCGTCTCCCGAAGTCCGTTGAACCTGAATTCGACTGATGAGGAATAAGGGACCACACTGCGAAGCATTCATTCATCAATCGAGCTTTGATTGAAATACCCTCCGTGATGAAAATGTTGTTCACAGTGTAATTGGTTCGTGGGGAAGTGGGATAATCTATTTTTATTTAACTCGTAGTTACTTGTGAGTAGTGGTGTGGGATAATTGATATTGACTGATTTGAACTGACTATCCTTG